AAGCAAACAAGCAAACAAACAAACAAACAAACAAACAAAAACACCGCCACATGCAAACGACGCGCGCGCATAACTCACCCACCCCGCGCCATTTAGCGCGGCCTCCTCGGGTGGCGCAAAAACCTGGGCACGCATCCTCGGCGCCCCCCCCCCCCCCCTCTAGCAACCCCGACGCCCCGCAAGCCGAAGCCGCGACGCCATCTGATCCTCTCCGCCGCGCGGACCCTGCCGCCCCCCACCTGCGCCCGCAACCCCATCGCCGCTGTGAGCGACGTGCCGCGCAAGTGCTCCGCGCGAGAAATCTCAGAGCCACCGCCCCCGCACGCGCGGGTTTACGGTGGCACCTTTTTTTTCCAGCGCTGCCCGCAGCCCCGACCTCCGATCCACCCGCCCCCCCCCGCCCCCCCACCCCTCCCCCGCGCCTCACCCCCGCATCCCCCCTTCCCCCCTCCCCCCCCCCCCCCCCCCTTCTCCCCCCTCACCACCCCCCTCCCACCTTCTCCGCGACCCCCCCCCCTTCCCCCCCCTCCACCCCCCCCCCCCGCCCACCCCGCCCCCCCACCCCGCACCCCCCCCACCTCCCTGCACCTTCCATCCACCCCCCTCCCCCCCCGCCTCGCACACACCACGCCCCCCCTCCCCCGCCGCCCCGCCCACCGCCCCCACCCCACCAGCCTCCGCCCACCGCTCGCCTGCTCCCCCCCCCCCCCCCCCCCCCCCTCCCCCACCCACCCACCCCCCCCCCCACCCCCAGCTTAGGGCGCGCGGAAAAGCCAGCTAACATGGAATGGGTTACTGCGCGACTGGGCCACGCAGTGAAACAACTAGCGGATGTCGGGCTGGCCGCGCGCAACGCAGCGCGGGGAAGAATTCGCCCCCGCGCGGCGCTGCGCAAGACCGCCCAATTGGCTGGCGCGCGCGAGCGCCGTCGCATGTTTTCCCCGCGCGGGCGCGCGCCCTAGAAGCGCGCCCGCGCGAGCGTACGGGCGCCGAAAGGGGGTGCCCGACAAGCGCTCCGCCCCCGCTCTCGGCGCGCGTTTCCGCCCGCCTCGGCCAACGACGCAGCGGTGGGGAACGGCGAGGGCGAAGAGCAAGATGGCGATAATCGGGCCGCGACCCGGGTGGCCCAAGGACGACAAACTGAAACAACACGAACCGAAACGATGCCAATCGCGACAATGGACGAAACGACCGCATGCAGAGGGACGCACCGAGACCGCGGGCGTTCGCGACCCTGGCGCCAAGTGCGACGCGCCCGCGCCGCTGAGTACTGCGCCGCGTCGCGCTGCACGGAAATGCGCCGCGCTCGGATGCGCTGGGGGCCAAGCTGCCCCGCTGCCTGATTCGGGGGCGACCTGGGCCGAAACGTAGACCCCGAAGTGCCCGCGCCCGCGGCTCGCCCAAATGTCCTCGCGGTCGGCTCGCGGGGGGAAGGGGGGGGGAGGGGGGGGGGCGGCGCTTTTGCCGACCCGGGCTCAGGTGGCCGACTTGCACTCGGATTGAGACGAAACGATAAGGGCGCGAACCGCAAACTGGAACAAAGCGCGCACAAGCGACTGCGAAACCACCGCCTGCATGCCTGGACAAACGCGCTGCTGCAGGCATCGGCGCAGATCCCGCTGCAAGCGCGGGCCCCCGCGTAGCGGATTTCGCCTGCCCGCGCGGCGCCGCCCCCCGCGCGCCGCTGCAACGCCCGCGGCCAGATGCGAACCAACTTGCCGCGGAGCGGCCGCGGCCCCCGCGGGGGGCTGGGCCCGACGGCGCAAGACGCATGCCATGCTCCCGCGCGGGGACGCCTCAGCGGGCAACGCAGCTGCATCTGCAGCCCCTTGTAGTGCTGTTCGCGCCAAGATTCGGGGCGCTGTGAAAACCTGCGCTGCGCCTTAAGTAGCCGCGTCGGGAACCCTGCCGCGGCGCGCGACGCGGCTTGCCGCGCCAGCTGTTGCGCGACCTCCGCGGGACGCGCCCGCGCGAGCGCGATGGGGAGCGCTAGGGGCAGAGGCCCCGCGGGCCGCGCCCGCTCGAGGGGCGCGGGGTCACTCGTAGACCGCGCGCGCCCAATCGTCGGGCACCCCATGGGTCGGCGCGAGCGAGCCGCTACAGTTGCATCTGCGTCGGGCCTCGGGCGCCGAGGACACCCCGAAGCGGCCGATCGGCCTGCCCCCGCGAGGGGGGGGGGGGGAGGGGGCGCGGGTGCGATCGGCCACTGCGCGCGGAGCGCGCCGTCGCCACGGGAATATGCCATTGGATAGTTCGCTCCACCGCGCCACGCTTGCCTTTTTGCGCGCGCAGCCAGTCGCCAAAGGGGCAGGGGGCGCGGTGGTTTGAGGCGTCATCAACAGGACGCGCGCACAATCGAAGCGCGCCGACGTTGCTGGCCCGACCCACGGGGCGCCTCGCCCTTCGCATAAAGAAAATACCACCCCCCTTCCCCCAGGAAACCGCGCCATCCGCAGAGGGCGGTGCCCCATTGCCACAGCCCCGCCGCCGGGCGGCGCCCACTCCTCCCAGACAAGCAAAGTTGGAACGGCGCCAGGTAGGAAAACGCGCGCACGGCTGAAGGCGCTGAGCGGGGAGAGGGCGGGGTGGTGGTGGTGGGCGGGGGGGGGGGGGGAAGGGGGGGGAAGGGGCACCTCGCAGTGGGAAACATGCGGGGGGAGGGGGGGGGGGGGGGGGGGGGGACGGGAGGGGGAGACGCGAGCGGTGGGATGGAGAGGTGGCGCGGGGGGAGGGGGGGGAGCGCGGCGGGGGGGGGGGCGGGGGCATAGAAGCATGGCGAGAGGACAAGGGCAGGCGGGCAGCGGGGGATGGGGAAGGAGCAGGGGCGCGGAGGGCGCGGGGGGCTGACGGGGGGCGACAAAGACGGGGGATTGAAAAGGCGGGGGAATGACACGGAAGCGGTAAACTGGCGGCGAGAGGGGATGGCGAGGCCATGCCGCGCGCGCGATCTCGCAATGCCCCATCGCAGCTGGCGCCCGCGCGCGCGCCCTGTGAAACGCACCCCCCCCCCCCCGACACGCGCCTCGGGCAAGTGAGCTGAAGTCAGTTTACAGCTGGCGTCGGCGCCCGCGGTGCCTCTCTGCGCCGCCCGCCGCGGGGCTGAATGACATGCGGAGCGCGTTTGGTTGGCGCCACTCGCATTGCGCCATGCATATTGGCGGCCCCGCGCCAACGCGAAACCGCCGCGGGCGTCGACGAGGCGCCATCCATTGCACAGAGGCATGCCCGCCTATGCTCGTAAGGCCCAGCGCCTAGGGCTGGCCTCGCACGCTGTGCGCGCGCTGCGAATCGGAACCACGCCTGACTGGGGATGGACATTCGAGGGGGGGGGGGGGGGGCATTATTTGCAGCGGTTCTATGGGCTCTACCATCACCTCGCAACGGCAGCCGCGCTCCCGAACGCATTGGTCGGGCCGCGATCGGAATCGGTCGGGCGGCGCTGCGGCATGCTTGCGCACCCTTCCGCGCTGGCCCGCAAGTCGCAGGTGCGCGCGTCGCGGCCCTGCCGCCGCCGCCCGCTGGGAGTGCCCAGCGGCCGCGGCGGGGGCTGCGACGTGGGCCCGCCCGCCCCTGGGCAAACTTGCATGGCGGGAATGGCAGCGCCATGGTGGTCCGCGCCGTGCTCGCCGAGGCGCGGCCAGTGATTCCCGCGCGCGCGTCGGCCGCGGCCCCGCGCTGCATCCGCGGTCGCCGTCGTCGTCATATTCGTCGTCGCTGTTGTCGTCGTCGTCGTCGCCGCCGTGGTCTTCCGTCGTCGTCGCCGTCGTCGTCGTCGTCGCAGATGAGGCGGGGCAGTCAGTGTCAGCACCGCGGAATAATCTGCAAGGGGCGGCGGGGGGGGGGGGGGGACAATAGGTGGGCCAACATAGTGAGGCGGGGGCGTGAGTGCGGGGTGGAGGGGCGCAGGGGGGCGGGGCGGGGCGGGGCGAGGGGCGGGGGGGGGGGCTAGGGGTGAAGGTGGCGCCCATGGGCGGCTGCGGAACGCCGCGCCGCGGGGAGGTTGGCGCAGACCAGCCCGCGCCTGAAATGCCCAGGAGGCAGAACGCAGGCGGGCTGAAGGAGGGAAGGCGGATGGCCAGAGTGGCGCGCCGCGAAAGCCTCCCCACGGCTGCCAGGTACCTGCCGACCTGGTCGCGCCACATCTGCAACGAGCCAACGAAGCCGTCGGGCGACCCGCTCGGGCCGCGGCGCCCGATCACGCCCGCGCCCTGGGCACCGCGGCCGCCGCCCATCGGAAACAGCGCGCGGCCCGCTGTCCGCGACCGAACCCCCGCCGTGCAACAGGCGCCGCGCGTCGCGACCCGCGTCGGAGACGATCGAAAGCCTTGCCACCGAGCGGCACGAACGCCGCCCACGGCGCCGACGCGGGGCGCGGGGGGGTGCACCGCGCGGCAGGCCCTGGAAGCCGACCACGGCGGCGGGTCGGCATTGGCTCGGGGGGGCACGTGCGCCGCCCAAGCCGAAAGTGTAACCTATCATGTGTCGGGGCGCCGCTGTAACAACCATGCGCGGACCCATTGGGTTTGCATTGTGGTGTTGAAAGCTGCGCGCGGAAATTTTGAAATGACTGTTCGGTTCGAACGCGGACATAGCGAACTGCGCGAGAGGGGCACCGATCTTCTGGATTCCGACGATGCCCCTAGCGAAGCGGCCAGACAAATAGCCAACGCGCGTTCAAACAATCGCCGATGAGTTCTCCCCCCACGTAGAGGCGCAGAGCGCCGCTCGCCCAGGTCGACAGGTATATCTGTCGACCTGGGCGCGCGACCGACAGTCTGACGGCTGGGGGGCGCGGGGGGGGGGGGGGGGGG